AGTCCGAATAGGAACCTCTGAGCGCTGCGGCCGGGGCCGAGGCGAATTTTCCAGTCCTTGTTATCGGGAATGAGAAGCCGTTGACTGTTCATAGTTGTGCGTGTCTCTGTCAAAGCCACTACGTCAGCGTTCAGCGCGCATATCGTTGGGAAATTTCCCAGCGCTGCTGATGCCATTAACGTTGAGCACGAGTGCATTGAAAGGGTGTCGTAGTGCATGAAATCTTGCAACCGTTACATGGCAATGTTGTAAAACCAGTTCCGCCTCATCCCTCTGCTCACTGACCTCCTTGCGCTCCTTGGGAGGAGGCGTCTGTTGTGTGTATCCCCTCACACTGCTTGACCTGCCAACCCTTATAGGACTCGTAGATCCTTTGTCATTGAGGCGCTGGAGAAAGGCTCCCTGATGCATCTCACGTGGCTCACGTTGCACAAAAAATACCACTGTCTGATGTGCTCGCTTGACGCTCTTGACGCTGCATACCCCTCACCACCGCTTTGAGTGCCTTGAGTTTGACCCGGCTGGACGAACGAAACACAGCCTCCTTGGAATCCATGTACGACACGTTAACCGTTAACATTTAAGCACTTACGACTGCCCAAAAGTAAGCTGAGCCCATGAAGTCCCCCGGTAAGTGGGTATCCCGTGACTTTCCACCTGGCCAAATGCGACGTTTCCTCATACTTGTACTCCTTGGACAATGCTTCATTCGTTTTGAACCTCAAAGCCAACCTCTCACTCATCCCTGTCTCAGCCAACCCAAAGACCCTTTTATCCTTCGTCATGTTGAGTGTATCGTTCAAAGTCATGGTGTCGGGGAGCCATTGGAGTTCAAGGGGAGCAGTATCATCAGATTGACAATAAAACTCCCACTCTTCCCCGACTTGCACAGGATATCGTCGATGAAATTTTCATGGCAACAGAATGAGAAGGATCCGTTCATTCGACTGTGGAGTTGATCGACCGCCAGGTCCGGAACAAGCGGGTCAAGATGGCTCATGCTGACACTCGCCGGATCTCACTGTCGTCCCAGCCCCGCCTCTTGGAAAACCGCGCTGTCATCTTCTGCATCGTTGTTTGTTCCACGTCTACTACCCAGCTCACCTGCTCCCCAAACTCCAGCTGGACCGCGAGTATGTACTCCCTGGACCCATCCGCCCCCGCCACTGACAGTGCGAACGACACAATGCTCCTCGGATAAGCTCGCAATCCAAGTTCATCCGGATGCTGAAAAACAACCACCGCCGTAGGCCTGCCGATGAAACCAACCTTCTCGACTACTGCTGCCAGCTCATCCCTCGGCACCAACCCACCACCCCGAGGTGCTGATACGGCACCACCGGAACATTCCATTCCGACTCAACCAAAGTAGTCTGCATTCTAATCTTTGCTTGCTCAGGCGCTGCATCTTTCGTCCGCTTCAGGAATTCCTAATTGATCCTGATTGCTCTCAGCGATGGAACTGATGTTGACCTCCACCTGCATTTGCTGCCTTCCCCTTCTGATTGCCTTTCGGCCGGTTTCCATGCTCGCACTGAATGCGCTGATTCATCACTATATTGCTGTGGAAGCAATCTCATACAGGCATAGGCTCACCAAGAACATATTATCTGCATCAGCCGGACTGACAATCAGCGCATCCGATGCCTTGTTCATCGCTGCACAAGTAGCCGACTTGCATTGCCTCACCTCACTGGCCTGCGTAGTCACCCCTGGTCCGCACGTCGCAGTCCAGGTCATAGGTGCCGGGGAACCTGGCAGATCCCAGAAGCCCTAAATGAACCTTAAACCCAGTGACCCTAAACCGAGCGAGAGGCTGCTTGTCCCTCTGTCAGTCTCGTTTGATGTTCATCACACAACATGTAAACATGTCGATCGCTGGGCCTCCTTGCAAGAGAGACAAAGGCCTCCCTTTTGGGACACCGGTGCAACAGACACCGGGCGGAACCGGGGTACCCAGGTTCGCTTGTCGACGTGCTGGTTTCTGGATAGCCAAAGCCGGCAGGGAGCTGGTACCCAGCTGTCGGGTTGCCTCTAGATTTAAATCTCACATGTATTCACATGGGGCTCACCCCCTAGATGTTCCGTTTTCTGGCTGGGAAGATCGAAGCGGAATCCGAAGGGGCCGACGCGACGCCCTTTGATATCTTTTGTTCCCCAGAAAAACGTGATGCACGGTGGGTACTCCCATCTCCTGGATAAGCCTGCCGAAGCATGCACAACCAGAGCATGTGAGCATGACAAGGACACACAAAAACATGTCATTCTCAAGGCGGGGGCCTGCGGGTATTTTTAGGCCACGTTAGTCCAGCATCACATTGTGCCATTGCAGCTTTCATGGGCAATAGCACCTCTCAGGAGCCAAGGACATGCATTGCGCAGATTATTGACCCGTTGACACACACCGTGCCTGTCGCAGGTCGCCTCTGACATCGCCCCTGCACTGGCGGAGGCACGACAGCAGAGGAGGTGCTTCAAGTCTTTTTCAGACAAAAGGGGGATTTTTCTGAGGCACAGTTAACGCGCAAGCTGCTCGAAAGTGAGGCCGAGCCCTTGCATTCTACCACTACCATTGTCGTAGCCATCATCATCTCCGCCATGCAAAGCCATTCAAAGATTAAGGCTCAAATCTCCAGAGATCTTTGGAGCCCTGCTGCAGCCTTGGATGACCAGATGCGATGCGCATTGTCAACATCATACGCTAGACATCAAGCCCACACGTAGGTGGCAGCCGAAATCGAGTCGGGTCAGCTGCGCAAGGCTGGTGGCCTGAAGTTTGCAGGTGTTGGCTTCATTCACGCATCCTGTCACGAATCGCAGAGTTGTGGAGGACTTCGATTTGACCCGTGCCAAAGCCATGGAAACCCCGGTGGGGCGAAGCCAAAGCGAGCTCGAGGCCGCATCACGAAGCGAGATGCACATCCGCACCAACCTTCCCTGTTGCATGGCGAGGCATCAAGTAGCTTTCCGCCTTTGGTGGCGGCCACAGGATGATGAGAACATGGAAAGGATTGACAGAAATTTGAACGGAAGAGGGGCTTTGACGAATCGTCCAATCGGAGCCGAGCTGGAAAATAAACGGCTCCAAGACACGATGTAGTGGCTGGACAGCTGCATGTCCTGTCGGTGTCAGCAGTTTTGTTGACGAGGTAGCGGCGGTGTCCACACCGACGAGCACAACCCACGCGGGCCCCTCTGACCATCTCTGACCCTCCACTGGGTTGTGTGCCGAATGCCATTCTTGTTGCACCACGAGGTGGACCAATCGCCAGATGCTGGGATCAGGTCCGCACAGTTGCCATGCGACTCCTGAAGACAAGCTTCCGTCTGTTGACAGGTTAGGCATCACCACCCCAGAACGGAGCTCATCACAAGACAAGCCACCGAAATCGACGTGGTTTCTACTTCGTTGCAGATAAGGACACCGCCGCTTTGCCTTCAGCCGCATCTGCCTGGAGCCTCTTGCGAGCTTGCCGAAGATGCTCTGAGGGTTCGTCTTCCTTGGCACATGTTGACGTGGTTAGGTTCGCAGCGTTACGCAGTTGCTCAAAGTACTAAGTCACAAGCGGCATGGCGACGAACAGCTTGGCTTTCTTGGTTGCCAGAGGAGGGGCGGCCTCTTCAGCAGCTGTTGCTAGCAGGCACAGCGTGGCTAAAGCACCGGCCCGCGGCTTTGCGGCTCCCGGTGCGGGTGCCTGTTTTGCGGGAGTCGCAGTCGCCGCGGTCCATGCTCGCTCACGGCGGACGGTCCGTGGCAGTCGCGGCATCCAAAGCTCGCGGGTGGCCATGGGGGGAATGCTTCGAATGATCGCCGAGGACGAAGCACTGCCTGGTCGGGCATCAGAGATGCCAATTGCCGAGAAGCATTTCGTTCTGGGAACTCCGATGAAGGGCCCATGGCCTGAAGGCTCAGACATGTTTGTGTTTGCAAACGGCTGCTTCTGGGGCAGCGAGAAGGGTGTTTGGAGGCTTCCTGGCGGAGGCATAATCTCAACTGCTGTAGGGTACGCAGCTGGCTTCACGCCAAATCCCAACTACCAGGAAGCTTGCAGTGGCCTTACAGGTTCGACGGAGGCAGTTCAGGTGGTCTTCGATCCCGAAAAGGTTGGACTTATCGACATCCTGCGATGGTTCTGGCAGGCACACGATCCCACACAAGGCATGGGACAAGGCAGGAAAGGCGAAAACAGTAAGCAGCATAAGTTGCACTTTTCCAGAGCGTGTAAGCTTGTGTGAATGTCACATGCGGGAACAATGGAGGCAACGATCGTGGCACGCAGTACCGCAGTGGCTTGTACTACTTTAACGACGAGCAGAAGGAGATTTTCGAGGCGAGCAAGGCGGCTTACGAGTCGGCACTCGAGTCAGCTGGTCGTGGACGTGGCCAAGTGACAACGGAGATCATCTCAGCGAATGCCTTCCCAGATGGAAAGGTTTTTTTCTATGCAGAGGCCCAGTCCGGGGCCCTAGGGCTCAATCCTGGAAAACTTGCTGCATCCCCCGCCTAGCTGCCCTCAAGCCGCCCTGCAAGGACTACCACCAGCAATACTTGGCCAAGCCTGGCGCAAGGCCCTACTGTTCAGCTCAGCCTCAAGTGGTTGACTTGCCGGCCTTTGAAAGCTGGTGCCCTCAGCACCTGCAGGCCGTAACTTAATGCACCTAATCTTGATGCGTTTGATAATCTTGGCCCAGTTTGGAATGAGGTGTGCACTACAGCTTCCACCAGTAGTTACAACGCTGTTTCCCTGCAGGAGAAGTACAAGCCCAAGCTGGGCGAGGACCGCTTTGTGTTCCGCTTGGGAAGTAGGCACCGAGGAAGCTTCCTGCTCCGCCTGCTCCCTCCACGTCCGCTTTGTCTTTGACCTGCCTGCAGGTCTCTCACATGTTGGCCCCCTTTCCTACAGGATCCCGGAACATCCGACCCGTCAAAGAGCCTGAAGAGTAGATAAGACAGCAATGCGGGATTAATGTTTCCATGTTGTCATGTAAACCGCAAGAGCATACAAAAAATGTGCGACCATGCAATACTTCTATGATCTCATATATCTAGGCTTTAGGAAGAAAACTCGATCAGGTCTGGAAAGGGCTTTTTCCGGACTCAAACCTTGATGGAAACTCGGACACAGCTAAGCTTCGTTCAGGTCGGAGACCTGCAACAGAGATATGTGTTGCTGCTTGCGGTTGCTGCTGTGGCTGCTGATGTGCCTTTGAAGGACTTTTGGAAGGAACACGGTCCCAAGCCGCACTGCGTTATCATGTCTCCTAATGAGCCGATTGTGTGGCCGTAGGTCCGTAGGTGTGATGAGTTTTATTGCAAGCTCAGAGACATGAGCGATACCTCTTGTAATGCAGCAATGAAGCTGAGATGCTGCGTATTGAAGCCAATGATGCATCCAGTTCAATTTTCAGCACATGTGCTCTATCCCTTTGATCCAGACTGTTTCCGCATCAGCCACGTGCAGAACATCATGCACGCTATACACTCGCCGCCCAAGTGAGAAATGCAGAAAGCATGTGCTGGTTTGAAGAGTAGTTATTGAGTTGCTCGCTGTTCAGAGTCATGTCAGGTCTGTGCAAGACACGGATTCGGCACAAGTGGCAAAGGCTCGCGTTTGTTGTTTGGAGAGAGCATTATCCGGCACGGTTCCATTTGTTCGCAGCATAGTCGCCGGAAAGCTACAAGAAAATGTCGTTTTAGCTTCATGGCATGTTCTTGCGTGCGCTCGGCTCAAGTCAAGCCACATACTTGAGGCTCGCAAGAGAAGACACGGGCTTGCATCGCTCGGTATCCATCATCCTTTTTCAAATCCAAAGTCTCAGGCCCAGCAGAGATAGCTTCAAGTTTGACCAAAGCATGTCAGACCGGATCTAGGGAACACTGAGCCCGGAACTTGGAACCCGCGATTGCCTGAGAAAAAGAAAAGCAGGCTGCAAAAAAGCCCTCAGGACAACACCAAGACGATGGGAAGCTTGTACCGAGACTTCGTGCACTCAACTTAGCTGGACGAATCGCAGCGAGAGTGTCGTCTTCGCACTTCATGCACCAGGGCAGCCACCCAGCTGGCGCTGGACAAAGCCATCACCACCTACCAGGATTACTTTCCTCATGAGGCGAGAGCGAGCACCTGCTATCATCGCCAGTTTCCATGAGACTCTGCTTCGCAGCAAAGGCTCCCGAGCCAGACCTGAAGGGCAGAAGCCTGAGATGCACCCGCTCGAAAACCTGCAGATGCCTCCCTTTGCATGGAGAGGGGGTCAGGGCTTTGACGCATTCGACGCCTAAGGTTTATTTCCCGTCGGCGCGGGACTGAAGTGCAGATGCATTCTGCCGGAGGTGGAGTGGCTGGCATTGCATCACTTCATCTGATGCACAGGTGTCAGCACCATGATCATGAAAGAGGCACCTCCACTGCCTCCCTCTCTGCGAAACTGTGAACTCTGAGCCGGTTGAAGGAGAACCTGTGCCACAATGCGCTATGCCGCCTCGAAGTTGCCAGAAGAGAGCCCGGCATGCGTTGTGCTCCTTGCGGCTCCTTGGGCCATCTTGAGCCTGTGGGGCTGCCATTCCCTTACTTGTCTGTGTTTCCGAACCGCTATCAGTAGCAATGGCGGGGTACCAGTATCTCAGTATTTGTTCTGAATTCTTGACGACAGTTCTGAGCCATCCGAGATGTAGATTCCAATTCCTGCCAGACGCACGAACACACCCCACACACACACACAAACACAGAGGCAGGATAGAAAGTCGTGCTCGGTTTCCCTTTTTTGACATCGGCCCAGCTGCATAGTTTGTAATCGTGCACCAGATTGGTGCAGAACTGGCTGAATTGCAGGCAAGGGAGGCGACTATGCTTTCGCTGTCGACAGGCCGGCATCCCAGATAAGCCGTGTACGGAGCAACACAACGTTCCAGATACATTGGCCGTTCAGACAGGTGAACTAGCACCAGCAAAGTTCCACGAAAAGATCCCAGACGTCTTGGCAAAACCACGATTCGAGCACTAGCACCGGTTCGGAGCAGCGGCAATTGGAGCACCAAACCTGATTTCAGCGCGCTAGTCATTCAAGCACGCAGCCGATTCGAGCGCCGGCGATTGAAGTCTCCTAACTCGTCTTCAGGCTTCTATTGCTCATCTGCCTTTTTAGGGCTTTGACTTTTCGTCGTGCACACTATCTCTTTCAGTGTAAGCAAGGCGCGTTACAGCAGCTGGGTTGGGCAGGGTTTTCAGGGCTTCTGTGGGGGTCTGTGAATGTGGCTTCGTTTAGTAGTTCGGGGTTTCGGGTCCACGGGTTCCAATACGGCTTTGTACTCGTAGAATTTTGTACGGCTCACAGAGCTTTGATCAGGGCGTATAACAGGATTTTGAAAGTTTTCGAAGGGGCGGGTTGTAGCGTGGTTAAATTCTGGTTTAGGGCTTTTTATTCGGGCTCAGAGAATTCATGCTCGGTTTGAGATTTAGAATTTGGGGTTCCGAGGTGGGGTTTGGGTTTGGGGCCGGGATTCGCACACTGGTGCGGCCTCGGATTCGGCACTGAAAGCCTCGGATGCGCAGCCCAAGTCCGTGCCTCTGAGACACCGAAGCTGCAAGCAACTCTCTATATCGCGGAAACCTGACAGCCTATGGACCACACCGGGTGTGAGATGGAGCAACTGTGATGGAATGGGATGGAATGGGTGAAGTGAGCGACCGTCTGAGTACAAGGATCAGGGTTTTGTTTTCGAGGAGCGTGACCGTGCCCGCCACTAGCCTGCCCTCTGGGGGGCTCTACAGATGCAGTGGAAAAAGGCCTTGAAAAATAACACAACCCTGGCCCCAAAGCGACCCACGGCTCTTCTTTCCTGATGATGCAGCCAGGCAGGATGCACGCGGATTGCTGTTTCAGTGCGCAGATGCGATCTTTCCTGCGAATTTCGTTTTATCAAAATTGCATGGCTGATGCTCAGTATAATGACAAATCTTGCTGCGCATCGCAGCTTTACTACCCCAAGTCTTCACAGAAGGAAGCCTAACCCAGCCCCAGTCCAGCCGAGACCCCTTTCAATTTTGGGGCAGCATTAGTGGCGCAAAGACATGCATGATACGCAAAGTCACACTTGCAAAAGAAACGCAAATCTCGCCCAAGGGCGCAATGCAAAATTCCAAGAGAGCATGTCACTGATTTCAGTTCGCGCTTCTTCGCATGAGCGAGATGGAAACAGCAGGTGTTTTGGTTGCGAGCTGTTTTTCCAGGAATGGCTTTCATTGGAAATGCGTCGGTGGCTTACGAAATCAGCTCAGGCTGGTACTCCTCAGCACGACACTCATTGCAACAGCAGCTGGAAGCTCCCCATGGCTCTTTGAGGTGAACCGCATGCAGATCAATGGTGGTGCCCTTATCTCGTGAACGGTGCGTAGCCTTCGGGTTGCAACGGTGATTTCGCTGAGCTTCTTCAGACGAATCTGGCCGATACGAGAATTGGGCATGCATACCGCTCGCGTGCCAGGGACCCAGCCATACACATGGAGACATGCCAACAGAAGCCCTCGCCCAGCAGCCCGTGTCAGTAATCGACTGCAGCTAGAAGCTATGGCCAAGGCTTCAAGAAAGAAGGCCGAGTGGCAGATTGAATGGATGAGATGTTGTTTTCAGACTCTCTGGTGCGGCATGGGCAGGTACGATCCTGGGAGGCTTCAAGTTCGAAGAGAATTGTCACTCGTTTGCTTATTTGCAGCGGAAGCTTACAGATACCGTGTTGAGATTAGAGATACTAGAGCATTAATCGTCCGATGCCATGCATGGCTGGTCGGACAAAGGGAAAGCCAATTACCATCCAATTGCACTTGCCCGGGCAACCAGAGCTTCACTTCAGTTTGTGAACTGAAAAGGCAAGAAACCTGCAGTGATCGTCAATGACGACGGCGCCGTCGTCGAAGAGGCACCAGAAGAAGCAGAGGCCAGAAGTTCTGAGCCTGACATGTGCGTTCTCGCATCGACAGACGTGTCAGGAGTATCCTCCGATTGAGCTGTTGAAGGCCCCGCTGCGGCCTGCCAGTGCCTTACATGATGCTCTCCAACCGCTGCGACTACCTTTCACGGAACTCATGATTGTAGTCTTTGTTTGTTTGAATTTTCCCTTGCTTCGTCTTCGGTTCTGCTGAGGATGAGATGGCTGTCCCATCATCGCTTCTCGCAAGGATCCCAGGACTACACGCATTGATTAAGCTTCCTTGTGTTCAACTTTGTTCCTATGACGGTAGTGCACGCAAAGTTATCTTACGATCACACGAAGCATGAACATTTGCAAGAAGGGTGCCTTCGAGCTTAACCCTAAAACCCTACACCCTCACCCCAAATATACCCGTGTTTATGACAAGCCTCAGGGTACCCTTTTAGAACCCTTTGATATCGCACGGAACACGGCTAACAAACACATCCCGAATGCTTTCCCACAACCAGTGCCGTGACTCGCGCACTTGATTGCAAAAGGAGATGAAAAGGCCGAAGAGCACATGGCACACAGGCTAAACACATCGTGCCTCAGTAGATGCAAGTGCGATGAGCTGGAAAGCTGAAGCTCCTCCGCTCAGATCAAAAAGTCATCCTGGTAGTCGCTTCAACGAGAGATGAGCGTACGTTTCTGCCCGTGCGGAAACTCCTTAACTCAGCTCACGACACGGGCTCCAGTCAAAGCTCTTTCTCAAAGGCACCAAAATTGTGCATTTTGGGGCTTTGCAAGTGATGTCGGCAGACATCGGGGCCTCCGTTTGCAGCACTTTGAAGTGACCGCACCCTGTCGGTGGCTTTTCGTATTCGACGTACTCGTATTTTAATTCAGACCTAGTGAAGGGATACCTGGGCCCTCACATCCGTAATACTGCAACAAATTTTGACAAATGCCAGGTCTCAGGGTGAGTCTCTGCGGGCTCTGACACTTTCTGTTTTAGATGCGCGAGAGGAAATTTGTTCATCGTGATTGACCCATTGGCGGGCAATCTGATTCGCCGGCCGCACCCTAGCCTCCCGACCTGGAAGAGTTCGGGACCTGTGAGAAGAGATGCAGCGATGAACATCGCCGAAGACCGATGCCCGCCAAGTCCCTGTGGTTAAAGCATATCAGCACGGTAAATGTTGCATGTGCGAGGCAACGGAAACCATGCAAAAAGAAGAAACGTTTCGCCACCCCAAGGCATCTCTCATCCCTCCAGTCTCAGCGGTGGCTCAGGTCTTGCCGCCCTGGTGGAACAGCCGGCCGATCAACTTAGTCATGAACAGACCGAGGAGTTGTGTCACAGAGTTCGGAGTGTAGGGCTTTTGGGGTGGAAGGTCTGCGTGGCTTTGCGAGACGGGCTGTGGGGCTTTTCTTGCTGTTCGCTCAATTGGCAAATTGATGCATGCCAGAGCATGCAAAGACTTCTTAGCCTCACCGATCACCCGAGCCCTGCAATGGTCCAAGACCCAGCTGGCAAGGCCGAACACGGGAAGCGTTGACCTGCAAGACCTCTAAGGTCTCAAGACAGATACACGGGGCTTCTGACAAGGCAGCCCTGCACTCTGCCCAAACTTATCCAAACTTGGCACATGGACCCAAAGCCCAGGGGTAGATTCGCGAATCCTTAAATGTCCGACCGCAAACTCTTCACGGCAACGTTCACAGATCAGCCGCGCAGCACCATACTCGTAACTACTGAAGGACACAACCTGTCCAGACTTTCCACACGAATTCGACGCTACACTATTGCTAAACCATGTCCAAGATGCTGGTCTCCCAGGAAATTTCTCCGAAGAGGGCGGCAAGGTGAGAGTCGTCGTGACCAACACTTTCTGTAGTTGTGTGCTCATATCCTGCGTTTGAGTAACAGAACATAGCAGAATACAGTTTCTGCAGCAATAAGGAGGTTCGTGGTGCAGGTAGGCATGCTTCACATCTCATCTAGCAGCGCCCAGGCCCGAATGTGCCAGTTGCTTTTGTTAGTGCATCGCGTTCGCCACGAACTTCGCGCGAGCAGCAAAAAGATGGTTGTTGATGTTTTGTGTTTGAGGCACGTGAGCACCACGGCAGTATGCACACCTGTCACCGGAGCTGGGGTCAAGCCTTTCAGAAGCTCGGATGGTGGCATCCGGCTGCCAATGGCGACATCCTTTGGTGTCATCACGGGTGCTGCTTTGTGGGCATATCTTGTCACAGCAGGCCTTATCTCTCTGGTGGGGCAAGACTGAGCTCATGTGAATGAGCGCGGTGATTCACAGAACTACATTGCCCTGACTGCATTCACGATGTAGTCAAGCGTCGGGGAGGCCTGCCTGCACAGTGTGCCCTGGCGCGCCAAAGCTTTCTTCAGCATGACGGCAACAGCAAGGCAAAGGCTACTGCCTGAAGAGGCTGCAGCTGCAAGCTGACATGAGCTGACACTGTGCCATGGATGAAGGCAATCTTCAGACCCAATCATCTGCAAACAATCTGTTTGAAGAGGCCTCCCTGCCAGTGAGATCTGAAGGCTCCGGACCAGAGACACTCTTCTTCGTGCACCTCGGCAAGCACCAAGTAAGTGAGTCGTGGCGGAATGCTGCTGCATAGGAAATCACAGCAATTGAGGCATGGCTGGCCTGACGATGCAGCTGTCTGGCAGGCGCAGGTGGAGCACTTCAAGAGTCGATATTCGTGTAACTTGGCCGGCAAGATATGCGGGGCCAGCCTGGTTTCCCTGCACTCGCTCACATTGTACAAGATCACCAGATCACTTACAGCCCAAGGCAAGTGCGTGACCTTGCCATTCTTTGGACAGCCTTCGGCCGTGCAGCAGAGCTATTCCTCGAAGGTCAACTTGCCTGGGAAAGCTATAAGGGGTGCAAACTTTCAGCGTCACTGCAGTCACGATGGTGCGGCACTGGGCCCTTGCCAACTCAGCATCTCCACAACTGCGAGGGCTACGATTTCGAGGAGGTGGCGGACATGCTAGCTCAGACCATCCGCACCTGCACAGCAAAAAGAATCATAGTAAGGGGAGCCGCGCGCTATGAAACCTTGCGAAGGCCACGAGTGCAAGCACAGGGTCATTCTTGTGCTGCACGATTGGGGCTGCAGCTTGGCAAGCAGTACCCTTTCCTTCATCATTCTGAACTCGAGATTTCAGGTCCTTGGGGATTTATGCTACAACATCGGCATCCCGGCATCTCGGACAAAGTGCATTTTCTTGCATTCCTCCTTGAACATCGGACAGCAGACTACTGAACGGCTTCAGGTCTGGTGGCATCCATCATTGCTTTGGATGTTGGGCATCCTTCTTTTTTTGGCTGGAAGGATGCTGTGTATTACTTCGTGAAGTACCAGGCCTGGTTGGTGGCCGCCTATCTGGTGTGTCGGCTGACGGCAAGAACACCCATTGCTGATGCGGGGCAAAATCTTGGGGACCGCATGGCACGTGTGCTGGCACGGTACATTGGCCGGGACCATATGCACGTCACCGGGAAAGCCCCTTGGTCAAAGTATTTGCAGCCAGACAGTCTCCATCCCGCTGAATCACTCAGTAGAAGACTCATAGGAGGATTGAAAGTCGACACGCGTGCCGTCACCACCTGCCTGCGTGCTTTGCAAATGTAAGGCATGTTATCCATATTTCTACTTCTTCACCAGCTTTGGCTGTTGGCCGGCTCCTTCGAAGCACTCAGTCCTCGAAGGCCCGGTCAGCCCGCCCCTACTGCACTTGGAGGGGACAGCAGCTCGCGAGAAATCGTGGCGAGGCAGAGCTCTTCCTAGCTGCCCGTGTTTGTTTATGCACCTTGCCTGACAGAGCACTCTCAAGACTACATACGAAGTGTTTGCAGCTGCTGCACTTCTAGGTATGGCCAGAAGTTCGGAAGGAACAAGCCCTTCCTGACTCTAAGCTGAAGTGAGGAACCTCGTGTCAATGGGCTTAAACATCTAACAGCTGGCAGCTGCTTCTGCAATGCCGAGGTTTCACACAGCCGAGTGGGAAGAACACATGAGATCTCGCACAGATTGTCTCGTAGTGCCTGTGGATGCGGGGCATTATTTGCAGGCTCTCCGGGTTTCAAGTTCACTGCTGTTGATGCATAAGCCAGAGCTCTGCAGTACCACGCCGTACAGCATGACCTTGCAGGAAGAGGCAGCTGTGCAAGTGAATCAAGCAATTGAGGGATGGCTTCGGACAGCGATCTTAGCGAAATGAGCAAAAAGAGTGTGTGCACAGGGACGGTCGCTGCATTTGTCGGTGTTTGTTGTTGACGGTTTGTCAAGAGCAGGCAGCGACATCCAGAAGCAAGTCAGACAGCACACTGTCCTTCCCTCAGTGGTTCGATCATCCGACATGCTGTTGCAGTAGAAGCTGTTCAAGCCCTTGACACGAAGAGCTGACTCACGCTAAGGCCTCCCAAGCTGAGCGGCATGTCCCCACTGCACCGTGTCCTGGCGGCGGGTGCATGGAGCAAAGTGTGAAGAGGTCAAGGTCAGCTGGCTTGAGGTCCCAAAGACATCGGCAAGCTTTTCGAAGAGGCGTTCGCACATGCACTCAGTCTCGAGAACGCAAGCCTACGATGGACGCCTGACAGATGGACGCTGATGGTGATGGTTTTTTGGGCGAGAAGGACTTGATGCCCGATGGCCAGCTACATAAACATGCCAAGCTGTTACATGACACGGCTTGAGGTCATACTTACGGGACTATCTCAGATATGGTGAGGCGCGTTGACTTTCGGGTGCTACATGTCAAGATAAAAAGGCATGTTGGCAGTGCAGGCCGAAGTAATGGCATTTCTGCAGGTCCCCGACCTTACACTTACAAGTGGGCACGGAATACGCCTTTACGTGCCGAGAGTTCCAGACCAGACGCCCAGGCCCATCAGCAGGATGCCCGCGTAGACCTGCCAGCCCCGAACTTAGTTCGGGCTTTCCAACCAGAAAGCAGGCCACGGCGGCGACGATCACGTGCTCAGCGCTGCTCTTTTGACATCGGAAGGCTTTCAAGCGTGGTCTCAAGGAGCTCCAGCCCTACGCCATCCATGACAGGTGCGAGCAGCATGGTCGTACAGGTCAACGTCACCAAATGGCGCAGGTTCAACAAGACAATCGTGCGGAAGCCTGGTGCATTTGGTGGTCTCGACTGCGTCGATTTCCACGTGGAGGACACCTAGAATAGGCGTGCAGAGAAAGAGCATTTCCTCCTCTTCAATCCGAAACACAGGGTTCACAAATGGGTTTGGCCAGGAAACTAGAGCTAGCAGGTGAGTCTTTTGATGCTACTTTATGCCGTTGGCTTGTCATGGTTGAGCAGCTGAAGGATGCTGAAGGCAGACCGAAGTGAAGATGCCAGGACTGTAGTGGTTGCACCTGCTTGGTGTGCGAGAAGTCCTCTGAGTTTCATGCTGATGAGCCTTGGCTGTACCGTTTTCACGTTGTTCAGGGACAGGGACTTAGTGTTTAAAGAGAAGACCTCGTAGGAAGGTGCAGCGAGCATGGACTTGCGGTTGTTGCTACTACGGCAAGCAAGACGCTTCACGGATTACATCGGCCGATCAATCTGCAGTAGCTAATCCATTTTGCAGCCCTTGATTTCACGGATGTTGAAGTTGTCCCGTCCACCATTGGCGTTCTTGTACATTGCACAAGCGGTGTATGCCAAGAATGCACGTTGGAACGCAAACTATCCGCCCACAAGCAGACATTGACGATACATGACATGTATCAGTTTTGAACCATCCAGCTGCGAGATGCACCGGGGTGGCAAGAGTGCGATAGGGAGTTACATTTTTTTCCTCAAAGAGTACAAAAACTTGAGCTTAATCATTGTGATGCCGGGCGAGACGTAACTAGCAGACATATGCAAGTGTGCTGCAGCATAGCAGGCCTCAGTCCACGGCGAGATTAGCTTCTGCAAGGTTCAGCCACTGCTACAAAATATCGCTCGACTATCTAAAAAGCGGAGAGGCGGTAGAAAGTTGTGATAATCGACGCTACAAGACAAGCGGAAAGTACTGCGCCCTGCGGCATTTACATGCAATGTACAACCCGCCGCTCACGACTTGATTGGAGGCTTCGCTAAGTAGGAATTGCTTGGCGAGTTCAGCATGCCGCTGATCCACCAAGGGCCTGGTGGATTGTCGTCTTGTCATCGGGTCCCTGGCTCTGTTCGATGCAGAAGATGCCACTATTGAAGCCTGCCAAATTATGTACCGAGGCCCTGCGAGAACTCCACCTTCGTGAGGAACTGTGAAAACTGCACTTTTTGGGTGCTGCACCCGGACTCCGCAACCCAAATCCGCAAGTGCATGACGAGCTGCCTGCCCGGAGCAACCCGCATCATACCTACTCAGGTTGCTACGAAGCAGTTTCGCGTCAGAGAGTGCATAAATTGCACCTTCTACTTGCCGGGCTCTTGGCAGCCTCCACTACCCAGCCAAGCCAGCTGACCTGTGCCTAGGCACTGCCACACGGAGCCGATCATTGAGTCTTCCAAGGCCGGCGCTGTAATGGAAGTACATGCTGAGCTATGGCATGTACTCTGAATACAAGAGAATTCTAAGAGAATTGTCCGAACGACGTATCAGACTTCACAACGTGTCGCACTGCCCTGATGTTGTGACAGGACTTGCGCGTGGCACCTTTCTGTGCCGAGTATCCGGGACTGTCCGGGGCTACGAGATGCATGCAGTGGCTAGGCCCGGCTGGGCATGTAGGCAGATCACCAGGAAACTCTGCAGGAGGTTGCGAAGTTAGTCAGGTGTCACCTGCAAGATCTCAATGTTCCTTAAATGTTCTCAAGGTCTCAACAATTCAGGGAAGCGTGGTACTCAGATTGGGATTGCTGCATCAGTGTCATACACCTTCCACTGCCTCAGGCAAAGTTCGACCCCACAAAGAATTTTTGGAACGCAATCTACGACTTCACGGGCAAGGCGGAGTCTGCCAACTGGCAGGTGCGCAAACCATCAGCACTGCCTTCCGTTTGTTGTATTCTGCTGTCCTGTGGGCAGATTCCAAGCCTCGATGCCTGCGAGAAGCTCATCGTGTCCTTCGAAGGCCAGGTTCACCGAGCCCCCTTTCCCCAAGTCTCAGAGAAGCGACAGGCTGCTCCGATTCGCCAGATGGGCCAGCGCCGGAGCTGACACAGGCAGGGAGCGGGATCACTGTGTAGGAATAGCTGAACAGGTCAGAGTCCTGTGTGATTTGGCACATCTGCGTCGTACCTCACCTACGTCACGAGGCTTTGCTTTGTGCTGACCCCCTTGTCAGCGGCACGGGTCTTAGTTGATCAGGATGAGCGACCATATCAAGCACAGGAGTCATCAGGTGAGAGCCAGGGCCAGTCCATGGCTAACATACCACAGACTAGGCCGGGCCTCGCGCGGCATGTCTCTGTGTGAAGTCTTGTGGCGCACACGGAGGCCCGCTCTCCCAGGAAAGCCCGGAAGACAGCGGCTTCAGCGACTCATGAGCGATGCAAACGAGGACGCGAGCGACAACAGTACTTTCTGCGTCTCTACGTACCACCGCATGACCTGTATCGACCATATTCGACCATATCGGAAGATACGGAGGATGTGGGCGGCAGGCTGAGGGAGGCGTGCATCAGGGTATTTCGGTCGTCTCATCAAGCGCGGCTTGCGATTGCAGCAGGTTCTTGAAGATGAACCGCTGTTCAGCAGCTTCTCTCAGGCTCGGCCACTTGGCAAACTGGTAAGAATCGTTCGGCGACATGCGCGCTCGTGCAGAACCAAAACGGTGAAGAGTCTGTGACGCATGTCAAGCGGCGCGGCGATGCGGACGATTTGATGAAACTGAAGTGCAACCACAAGTGCTTGGTATTTTGCCTGGATCATGAAGCAGGTGGAGAAGTCCAAGCAATCCCCACAGGCTGGACGCGAATTGCAGTAGCATGCATGCTCACGAGCCGTTCACCTGACGTTCGCCCGATCCTTTCTTGGTTCGTGCCTGTTGCACCAGGATCCAGAATCCTCGAGCGACGAGGCTGGTTGTTCGGGTACTGTTTTGGTGTCCTTCCGGCTTGAACATGCCTGCAAGATCTTGGAGATCTTGGACTTGGAGGAAGAAGAGGAGGACTTAGCCATGTGGCAAACAAGGTCGCCGCTTTAAAGCAGTTGAGGATGCAAAGCAGTGAAGTCGTCACAGGCTGCCTTCAACAAAGCAAGGCGAGTGGCGGCCAGGCAGCCCGAGAACAAAAACAGATTTCTAAGATGCGTGCATCCGCGCAACTCGCAGAAAGCACAAGCCATCATTCCCTGCCTGTGCTGGCCAGGAGATGCACATGCTCCCCTGGCCTCTCGCCCGTCGCGGCCGGCGCAGCAAAAAGCGGGGATCCTTGCAGCTTGCAGCTGGTGCCACCAAGCGATTGGGGCTGCGATGAGGCTCGGGCAGCCATGGCAGCTGCTGCAGAGGCGTCTTTGGCTCCCCTGCAACGAGGCCAGGATCCAGCACCCTGCCGCATCATGCAGCCTTCAGCCGTTCTGAAGCTGTGCAGGGGGAGGTCCTGGAAACCTCGCTGCCAAGAGGCCTCTGGGTGGACTGAGGCAGCGAGACACAAGCACGCTTACACTACACTCCGCTGAGTTCTCAAAGGCTTTCAATGGCACCTTCGAGAAATTCGAAGACCGATACCCAGGCGGGCAAGCTGTCCGACAGGGTATGTTCAATGTTCCCCTACTTGGCACAAGCCCGTACCCACCTCTGCCCACATCTCATCTCACTGACTGAGTGACCTCAAAACAGCTACAGTTCCCCACAGCTTCTAGAGTGCAGATTCTCGCTGCAGAAACTCCATTGAGTGCTTGTTGGTTTTCGCTGTCTCTATATATATATATATATATTGTAGGGCCTAGCGGCACGGGCCGGCACGGCCGTCGCCGCTCCGATTCTCGCCCCGAAGATGCTGCCAGCAGTTTGGCAAGCCCTAAAACCCTAAGCCCTAAACCGTGAGCCGTAAGGCATACGCACTACGCTCCCTCCCCCCTGCCCTTCAACCCCGCCCCCCGTGCGCGCGCGCCCTGTACGCGAGCATCAGCAGCATCATGGTCACCGGTCGTGTTTCCTTTCTCGTGCTTTGGGGCCATTGGAACCGCCTCAAAACGGCCCCAGAACCAGGTACGGTAGCAATATCGACACGATTGGTGCTTGATTTCTGC